GGGCTGGCGTTTGGTGTGTGCTAATCCAGGGCCTGAGGTCTTCAGAGGGACCTGGGAAACTTCAAGGAGGGGAAGGCAAAGAGCTGTACTGTAGACGAGCTCATTAGCTAGCACCCCCCACCCCCCCACCAGGAGGAGGGCGGGCGGCCCAGTGAGCGTGGCGGCAGAGGCGGCAGAGAAAAGGCTGTCACTGTCCTTTCTTCCTTTTGGTACAAGCGTCTCCCTGAGCCGGCGATTCTCCCGCAGTGACACCTCTCACGGGCACTAATGAGATCCGTGTCACAGAGCTAATGCATTCTGACTGGACTCTGATAGACACCCCACTCCTTCAGGGGAGACCACAGGCCAGTACTGCCCCCCTGGGGGCCAAGTCCCCACCCTGCCACCTGCCAGTCCAGCTCTTTTGCTGGACGGTGCTGGGCAGCAAGCTTCTGAGAGTCCATTGGGTCTCTGGCCATGAACTGCAGAGGGGCTAAGCTCCCAGGGCAGGCCCACCTAGCTGGGCATCAGGAAGGTTCCAGTTATGCTTCCCGCCAGCTGAAACCAGCAGTCTGTGGGGCCTCCCTATCACAATAGCAGGTGAGATTTTACGATACTCCCTGTGAAGATTTCCCCAAAAAAAGGAAGGGAAGGAGCCCAGACCCAGTCTCAAAAAGCCCAAGTATGAAGGGCCAGGTTATTGCCTCTGACAGATTATAATGGGCCAACAAGCCTGTCTTCCGTACACTCATACTTAGGAAGGCCAGGCAAGAGGCCCCAAGAAAGTGGTCCTTGAAGATAGACAGGATTTTCCTGGGTCAAGAGGTAAAGAGTAAACTGCAATTTCAGAGGGAGAACTGTTAGGGCCAGAGGAGGACAGAGGCCAGTAGGTGCAGGGACCTGGTTTTCAGGGTAATTCCAGCAGGGCTGATGGAAGGCTATGCCTCCTTTACTTTCTTCCTCAGCTGTTGCCACCAAAGCTTTGTCAAGGCCCAAATATTTTGCATGACACAAAGGTAAATAAAGGAAGTGAACTTGTCATCTTCTGTATCATCTTATTGGCAGCAAAAAGCCCAACACCAAAAAGCTAGGTCAGCACAGTGGTAGGGACATAGTCTTTGCACTTGAATGCACCTGCGTTTGAATCCTGGCTCCTTTCTAAATTTGTGTGACTTTAGAGAGTCTCTCAACTGAGCCTCAGTTTTCCTCTTCTATAGGATGGGAGTGATGATGCTTGCTTTCATGGAAATGGTGTGAAAATGTCCCCAAATAATGTGAGTACTTTGTTGATTCTTTGCTGAAATGAAAGAAAGAAGAACAGTCAGCAGTCCTCTGTGGAGGCTGCCCTGCCTCAGAGCATTTGGCCCAAACCACAGATGCTGACAGAGCTGCTGTGGCCTCAGAAGCCAGTGGCTCTACACACACATGTGCAGCCCCTCCTCATGCACATCCCACTCCAGCACCACCCTATTCATTTCCATCTCAAGGCTAAGTCCACCACCCCTGGAGGAAGTGTCCCACCTCTGCTAAGATGTCACAGCCCAATACTCCACCACCTCAGGACCTTCCTTAGCTATGCCTAAACCTGCCTTCTTTCTCAGTTGGTGCCCAGAGGCAAGGTCACAATTCTACCTCTGAACTCAGTGGGGACAGGGCACAGTGTATGTCATTGTTACCTATTTATCTCTAGCTCCGACACATAATAAGTGCAACATTTAATGAATAAACAGAAGTTTTACCTGTTCCCTGTCTTCATTCTCATAATCACTGCCCTGGCTCTCAATTGCCCATCACCTCTCGCTTACCTTATTGTACCTTCCCACTGGCCTCCCTGTCCGCAGACTCTTCACCAGTTCTTCCTATACAAACTACGGGACTGCTCTGGCTGAAGCACAACTCCTACTGGTTGCTCTCCTGTCCCCAATACTCCCATGGCTCCCCTTCAAACACCTCAGGATGCCAGCTGGCCCTCTCGCTTCCTTCAGCCTTATCTCTTAGCCCCACACCTGTCACCCCACTGCTCCAGCAAGCCCTCCTCCTTGCTCTCTCAGCACTTTTGTACCATCAATGCCATTTCCCCGTGGCACTGAGGAAGAACCAAGCAGACTCTAGAGATGGCTAAGCAGTGGGCTCTGCAGAACCCTTGCCCAGCATCACCCAATGCTGTCTCACCCCCCCCCACCACCACCACCAATGTACATACCACTCCCTACTCCAGGCTGGCAGCTCCTCACACAGTTAATTAGCACCATGTCACTGAGGACCAGCCTGAGTGGCCAGTGACAGGAGCTGACCCCTGACCCCAGGGCTGGGAAGCAGTCCACATCAAACTCTTACAGCGCGACCCTTTTAGCACGCACAGTAACTCGGGGCACCGCCAGCTGAAGCTCATTAAAGCTGTCTCTTTGGCGCGAGGGCCATTAACCTCACTGCTCAAAACCCACGCCTCCCCTCCCTGCCTCTCCCAGCCCAATTAATGCCCTGCATCCTCCCTCCCTTCCAAGCACCCTCACCCACACCTCAGAGCCAGCCAGGAGCCAGTAGGGCAGCCCTCTTCATTCAAAGACTACAAAGACCTAGTGCCAAGAGCTGCCAGTGCCCTGGAGAGACCTGGTGTTGGCAGGGCCACAAAGAGGGAGCTCTCTGGGCACCTGCTGCAGGCCAGGCATACACAAGTCCTTTACAAGGTTACGCACAGAGCCTCCCAGCAGCCCTGAGAGGCAGGTAGCACTGCCTCTTATTTAAGGGCCCAGGGTTTAGCATGGTAGAGCCAGATCTACTTCTGGTTTCAAAGCCCATACCGTATTAGCATTCAGATCCCTGGGCTACCCCGGGAACCAACCCAGATGGAGAAACCTTTTTCTCTAAATGAGGTGATACGTCACAGGATATCAAAGGTGAACATACAAGAAGGTTATCACTAAGTCTCAAGAGACAACAAGGAGTGGGCAGAGGGAGCTGTTTCCCCTCTCAAACATCCTGGGAACATACACACAGAAGCAGTATACCTAACTTAAGGCCATGTAGCCCGTGTTCACTCAGTTCTGCTGCTCTTCCCACTGCTAGACTCCATTATGGGTAGCTCCTCCTTCCCTGGATCAGTGCTGATTTTCTCCTGGGTCTTCTTTCTCTGGTCTCTCCCCTCTCACCACTCTTCCAAACTGATTCATTTACTCACCCAGCTTTTTGTCCATCCATCTATAAGCATTTATTGAGCACCTAGTAAGAACTAATTTTGTGTAGCACAAACTGCCTCATTGGTTCTGAATCACAACTCTGTTCACTCATGACTATTCTATGTCTCCTCTAAACCTTGGGTGGGGGGAAGGGGGATCCATCCTTTAACCATGCATTCAAGACACTGCTTATGTTTCCATTTTCTAGCTGATCCCTAACCTAAATTTTCTACTTCAGTATGGAGAAACTACTTGTTTATTTCTGAACTTGTTCTCTCAATATGTTGGGCTTCTCATGGCTATAGGCCTTTGTGCACACAGTCTCTCTACTTCTCTGTTTTCTGCCTGGCAACTTCTATTCATCTGTCAAGCATTCCAATTCAAGTTACCTCTTCTCTAGAAAACTTCCTGCTGACCTTCCAAGTATATCACCTAGCTGGGTTGAATGTCTTCTCTAGGATGCATGGAAAACCTGCGATGGGAGGGAGTAGCTGTTATGGTGGTATTCTCCCCTACCCAGGCCTGTTGTTCTTTCCCCTAGTCTCTTGGGGAGCCTGGGGATATCCCAACAAAAATGATATGGGGCATCCCAGGAGTCAGGAGTCAGCAAGATGTAAGTGAAGAAGTAGAACCTACTTTGGCAACTGAGAACAGGGAAAATCTCCCTTGGGGCAATCCAGATGTGGTTATCACAGCCCTCAGTCTCTATTTTCTCCCAAGATGTGAGCTCCCTGAGGACAGGAATTTTTACTGAGCGTGCTCAGTGCCCAGTAGGCACCAGTGAATGTGGAAAGGGGTTAGTCTGTAGCAGGTACCTCCTGATGTATCTTTCCAGTCCCCACCAAGGATACCTTCCCCAAAGTAATCCAGTTGTGATAAGGTCACAGCACCACCCAGGAACACCCTGGCTCCTCCTCTGGAACAAAGCCTATGTCACTTGGAAGCATTTGCATGCACACACATGCATGTACACACAAAATGAGAGACAGAGAAATGAACAGACACTCTTTCTGACAGATAGGTACACAGGCTGGTAGCTGCTTCCATGTACAGACTCATGCACTCAGAAAAATACGGATATGTTGTTATGAATACACATCCTTCAAACAGCTATACACAATCATGGACACATTATACTCTTACACAGACACACAGCTAAAAGTGTCTGGCATGGGCAGACACAATGATACTCACAGACACATATTCATGCTGATTTATCAGAAGCTCACAGAGCCTCCAAGTGCTGGGAATCACAGCTACTCTAGTCTCCTCCCAAGTAGGAATCTCCTGAAAGTGTACCCTCTTCTGGTACCCCAAGTGGCCCCTCCCAACCCAGGAACCACTCAATGGAGGCTGCTGCTCCTACAGGGGAGTCAATACCCTGTGGACGAAGCCATCGGTCAGAAGGACCCCGACTAATTAAAAGCTGGTGAGGTTTAAATAATTCATCTCCTTAACTCCCATTGATCGTCCAGTTTAGTGGCCACAGACTTGAAACAATATTAAACAGCTTCCTCCAGCTCCACGGGTAAGCTGACATGTGCCCACCTCCCTGAGGACATTGCCCACTAGGGATGTGGGCAAGGGGGTTGGGGAATGTTGGCCTGAATCCAAGGCCACTTGTGACTCACCCAAAACCCAGACCCCAGCCTCCTCTGAAATGTTGTTTGGAGATGTTCTTTCCAATGGTCCTCATTCCATCCTCCCTTTCCTCCTTTCCCCAGCTATGGAGAGAACCCTGTGGGGGCACTGAATGAGCCATGGAAACCCTCTGTGTGCCAGGGGACTGGGGCATGTGGGCAGGGGACTGACCGAGCTGCCAGGGGGATTTGCAGAGGGACTGACCAATGCCGCTGTGGGGCCGGCCTATGTGTTGCAGGCTGAGACCCTTGTTCATGTCTAGAAGTCCATTCTTGGGCCAGCAGCCCATGGCGAAGCTGTAAGCCTGGAAGACAGGAGGCGAGAGTGGTTAACAGAGTCCCTGACCCCTGAACCAGCCCAACTCACCAAGTCTCCCCCAGCCCCCAAATTTTCCCACCAAGGGCGTAATCTTATAATGCCATTTTGTGAGAGCCCCCTCACCGAGTACCCTTTTAATCAAGGCCCCTCCACCAGAAAACCCCTTCCTTCTCCAGAATCCTCTTTCTCCTGGGCTTCTCCCCATCAGCCCTCACTGGGTATTCCTACCAGGGCTCCTCTCTAGAGAGCTCCCATTTATTAAGATCTTCTTATCAGAAACTCTCCTTTTACCAGGGTACCCCTTACACCGTGCACCTCTCCTCAGATTCCCCAGAACTCTGTGGACTTCCTATTGGTCACACAGACTGGTCCCAGGAAGGACCTTAGAGACCACTTCACTCCACAGATAGGAACTGAAGCAAGAGCTGGCCAACAACTTGCCCATGGTCAAGGTGCTTTTGACTCTAAGCAGGTGAAGCTGTGAAGGGCTGAGTGCCATGTGGGGACTCAAATGAGGAGTGGAGTGAGGGCACCTGGTTGACTCAGGCAGCTGTGAGGGGAGTTTCGTGTGTGTGTGTGTGTGTGTGTGTGTGTGTGTGTGTGTGTGTGGTGGGGGTGGGGGGAGCAGATGCTTTGCTGAAGGTCAAGTGCTCACTTATGCATATTCAAAGCGGCCACCCATCGATCTGTACTTAATTGTTTTCCTGGGGTTGGGGAAGGAAGTGCTGGGGGCATCGATCTGCTCAGGCCCCTAGCACTCCATTGCCCCCTCCATTCCCTACCGTGCCACCTGGCAGCCAGCAACCTCCATCTGGGGGGAACACAAGGCAGGATGGGAACAGCATGACTGTCCTTACAGGCACTACTACCTGATGTCACAGACGAGGAAACGAAGGCCCAGAAAGAAGAAACTCACATGGGTTAGAATGCAATGATGTGGCCAGGTGGAATTTAATTCTTGCTCAGCCTGCCAACAAAATCCTGGGCTTCTGTCAATGAGCCTGGTAGCTGGTTGACCCCCCTCAAACAATATCCATTCCTTCATTTGAGAACTTCAGAAGTTCCCAAACACTAGGCTGCCCTTCTCCCCATGGCAGGAAGGTAATAACATGAGGGATGGTAGCAATGAGATTCAAGCTTGGATGAGATCCCAGAAGTTGGATGGTGGGTTTAGTGATGGAACCACAGTGACTTTCAGGCATGCTCAGACAGGCACTGTAGTATCCCTGACCGCTGCTGGGTCTGGAGGTCCCCATTCTACTACAAATAGAGGCGAGCTGGATAGGTTTTTTTTTTCCCCCTCTAAGGGTTCAATATGGGATCAGAACAATAGACACGCAGCTGGACACTGTCTGTGTCAGGGCCCAAGGCTGGGCAGAGGGCTAGTTCCCTTCCTTCCCAGCTGCAGGAATCAACCTTCCCACCCCAAAGGTACTAGCAGCCACTGCACTTACACTCAGCACCTTCTAAAGTCATTTTCTTTGACCACAGAAGTGCCAGCCATAGCCCAACTTTCCAATCAACCCTTCCCAACTGTCTCCCAGCCACAGCTGTATCCACAAATCAGGGGCTGAGAGTGGGACTCAAGGACAGCCCTAGGATGCTGGCCTAGAGCCAGGGTAGACAGGGAAAGCAAGGGGACACAGCCAGTGGGAGGGGCACAGCTGGAAGAGCTGCTGAGCGTGGCCGGGCTGAGGCTGGAGCTCAGTGGGCCAGAGAGCAGTGGCGGCTGCCTTTCAAGTACTTTAAAATCACTTACAAAAGCCGGATTAAACGATCAGAAATTCCATTTAATAGGACAAATAAAGAAATAACAATCTACTCTATCAGCCTGGAGAAGGCGAGCTGGATAGGTTTTTTTTCCCCTCTAAAAAGGAAAAAGGGAAGGAAGGGGGAAAAAAGAAGGATAATGTGTGTTTACTCAAGCAAAGAAAAAAATATTTAAGTGATGTCGGGGAGAAGATTGCAGTAACTAGTGAAGAATAACATCGTCTACTTTGCTGTCAAATCACACCCGAATTTCAGTAATAGATTCTCGGCTGACACTCAATTCAATTCGAAGGTGATCCTGCTTTATCCCAGCCCATCAAATATTAAACACTTGCATTAGCAGGTGCTGCCGCTTTCCAGCTTAAAGCGGCGGGCGGGCGTCAGGGCTGCTGAGGCCCCTCTGCTCTGCTCTCGGCTCAGGGACAGGGCAGCTCAGCGTTATCTGCACGTCATCCCGAGTCTTATCGCAGCTAAGCGGGAAGACCACTTCAGATAACATTAGACGCTTGCCCTGACGCGTCACCATGATTAGGTTATTATTATAATTATGACTCCCCAAGATCTTCCACAGACCGGGATGTGTGAAAGGGGGATGGAAGGAAGCAGAACCCAGGAAGGCCAGGCTGGACTAGGGCAAGCCTGGAGCCTTTGGCAAGAGAGCAGAGGTACCAGGCAAGGTGGCAGGCGGTCCCGCCTGAGGGATGCCTTTCAGGAAGGGCAGTCTAGCTTGTCAGAGCGAGGGCGAGATGAATTGGCGTCTCCACTGCGTGGTGTTACGCCGCAGTTTCATATTCCCAGATAAGGCATGATAACCAATTGCTGCCGTGACACGGCCTCCTCCAGCACTTCCTGGGGGGGGTGGCATGGGGCGGGGAGAGGGGGTGGCATGTGCACATGGGTCTGCCAAGCTCCTAATAAGAGGGATTTAATTTTTACAAATGCTGCTTCCAGCGGGGCCTTCACATACCAGCCAAAGTCCAAAATGATATTAAAAACGGTTAATTAAAACTGCTCTCTTTCAGCCTGGGCTCTCCTCCTATTGCCCCTGCTGAGAACCCCGGCATGTCTGAGTGTGTGTGGGGGGGTACTGACACCCCTGCAGAGTAAGCTCCTCCTTTGGATATGATCACCTGTCTCACAGACCCATCCTTGGCCCATTACCAGGTCCTAGCACCTCAATCCCCCTCACAGCTCCTGACATCTTGGGTACCCCTTGGGCACAGTCACCAGTCAGACAGTCACCCAGAGAACCCAGAGGGTCCTATAGCAACTTGTTCTCCTGCCACTGTATGATCTAGACTATTGCACCTGCTGCCCTTCCACACCTGTACCCACATGCCCATCTCCTCTCCCCCAGATACATACACACCATGGAGTACCCTAACCACTCTGTTTACACACCCATATGTGCCCCAGACCCTCCCTCAGATGACTCTGCCCATCCTGCCATTCCCGGCTCCCTCTGGATGGCCCCCTTGAGAGATTACACCTGTTTATAAACCTTAGCAGAGCCCTTCTAGGAGTCCTGCTCAAGGCAGAGTGACATGGGCTATCACTAGCTCAGGGATTCTGGCTAGGGAGTCAAGGCTGGCACCCAGCGACTCCTCAGAACAGGAGGACCAGGGAGGCCAAACTCTATGGAAGTGTCCACAGGGGACAATGAAGACAAGCAGGTCCATGTGGGGTAGGAGGCGGTTAGGAAAGCTTCCTGGAGGGAGGGAATGAAACTGAAAGGCCACAGTACAGATGACAGGGGAGGACAACATTCTAGGCAGAAAAATAGACAAAGGAGAAGGGTGTGGCTAGGGCAGTCAACTCAGTCAGAAGGAAGCACATTTTGAGGCTGTGCCACCCAAGTCTGTATGCCAGCAGCAGGCAGTGCCAAGGGGTCTCAGTCCTCACTTTCACTTATGCCTGCTTCCTTTCCCACTCTCTCCTTCTCTTCTGCTAGCCTATCAGGAGTTGGGGAGAAGGGGCCCAGAGCTTCCTGACCTTGACTGGGGAGGAGGGTATGCCAGAAATCTGTTTTAAGAGCTCTCTCCAAAACCTTGTCCTGAGCCTCTTTCTCAGTGTTGGTTCCAAATTCCCTGGGTGTCACTTCTCCAGCTGCACCTCTCTCAGTTCTCAAGGTCCACCTGCCCAGCTGTGCAGTCAGCATCTCACTCCTGGTGTTCATGACCAGAGGATGGGGAGGGTGGAAGGATGACTGAGGAGTTTCCAAGTCTTTCCACAGAAGCACCAATGATGAGCCATGAGGATAGGTGGAGTTGGTGAAAGATGCTGGGTCTACCAAACCAGCCCACCCCTACCCTGTACCAGGCAGGCACACACATCTTGCTTCCCTTGGGCTGTTGTAATTTCCACGCACAGGGAAGCAGGTGCCGAGCTGCTCCCGGCTGGCTTTCCCCTCTCGTGGCTCTGCCCGCCTTGGCTGCTGCCCCATTAGCTTAGTGGCCAGCCATCTGCGACGGGCCTGCCGCACAGCCCTGCCGTAGGCGCGGCGGGTGGCCCCCTGTGTAACAGGGAGCTTTGCCATTAGCGCCTTTAATATTCTGACACCTCAGCACAGCCTGCTATTACATGCAAACGCTGATCGCCCTGTGAAATTACATTGCTGGGCCCGCGAAATGGAATCGTGTATAATCAGCCTCCTCCATGCACTGTCAGTCCCATCACAAACACGGCGCCCGGCGGCTTACGGGGGCTTAGCAGCTGCGACAAGTGTATTGGGTTTAATAGATGAAGTAGCCCTCATCGGCAGCAGCACCAGATTCTTCAAAGAGGAAAGAAGAGGCATCCACAGCTGCTCTGGTGCCTCTACCCACCAATATCCCACCTATGAGGGCCCTGAGAGTGGGGTGGACAACAAGTGGGCAGGGTGATGGTTGGGTAAAGGACCAGAACCCAGCTCAGACGGCAGATGAAGCAGACTGCTCTGCAACTTCCAGAAAAACCTGAGCTCCCAAGCCAGCCCAGAATATCCAGCCTCTTCAGCCTCCTCAGGAGGTAGGGAGGAGCAGGCCTTTAACCACACACCTCCGGATGAGTTGTCAGCCTGTGGACCTAAAACTGATGGGACATTTCCCAAGAGGAAATGTAGGAGCCCAATCCAACCACCTGCCATTCCCTTAACATCCACCAGAGGAAGCCTGTGAAGGTGTTGCTCTAGAGAAAGTCTGACGATCAAAGGCTACCTAGCTTTTCACCCAACTGACC